AAAAACAAGTTAATTATACTGCCGTTTCTTATTTACACATCCAGCAGGTATGGAGCAACATTATCATTAATGTGGAGTTGTGTTTCTGGTCACTTGATGAATGTAATTCCAATGCTCAATTTTAACTCTGACTGCTGTCTCCACCAACTGCTGAGGGAAATATCTGGCTGTCCAGCTGCTAAGTGCTCCACTACGTTCACCTGCTAGTGTCTCAGTGGGTTTTCAGAGCTTTTTAGAGCTCTCACTGCTCACACTATGAGAGCAGTGAGAGTGATCTTTTAATTTCTGTGTGTGCATCAAGTATAAGTGTTGCTGTTGAATATACCCAGTCATCACAAAACTCTCTCCACGTCTTCTTTTAGCCACATACACACACACACACGCGCGCGCGCACACACACACACACACACACACACACACACACACACACAGGAGGGCCAGACAGAGACAAAGACGCCTGTCAGTGGGGAAGCTGAAATCTGCTGTGGATTACCAATAGATGACAGATCTCTCTGTCTCTGTCTCTCATTCTCTATTTTGGATCAGTAGCAAGATGCCATTACAGCACTAGGTCAGTGGGTGTATGTACTGTATGGTTACACACTGCGTACTGTTACATCTTCAATCAGCATGAACATGTGAAAAGTGCTGCTTGTTTCTTCTGGTCAGTTTCATTCAAGAAGGTGACATGGAAGCGGTTAGCGCCTTGATTTTCTCCCACCGGGTTTGTCTCTGCTGCCCTCTCTCTGTCACAAACATGAATCATCAGTTTAGCTGTGTGATAGGGTGTGTGTCTGTGTGTGAGAGAGAGAAAGAAAGAAAAGGGGAGTGTGTATGCAGAGTCCAGGCCACAGCTGTTGTTGTGTTCACCCCCCCCCCCTCCCCCATCTCTCTAATATAACCCTCCACTGTGCAGGTCTAAGCTCATGAAAGAGGCATTAAAAGCGCAGAGTCAGCACAAACTGAGTCCACATAGGCAAGCAGTTAAGCTTCATCACTTCATACACACACACACATACACACACACACACTCCAAAAGATTCTGCTGAACTACGTATACTATGTTTGCTGTAGCCTAATCACACTCTACTTCATATAAAGGGGCTTTTTATCATCAAGGACACTCACTCATGAAAGGTGTGTGTACATAACTGTGAGGGAAAATTTCTTTGTGTTTCTTTTTATATATGTGCACGTGTAAATATTTGTGAGTGTGTGTTCTTGAGTTGTGGCTTTTTCACACCACTAACCTGCTATTGCCTACATTCAAAATCCTAAGGCGCTTCCTCCCTGACAGGAAATTGCATTTTACATCCTGGTGACCATGGCAACCAAAGCCTGTAATGCCTGTCAGTCAGGTTTATATTTCACATTTTGCACTGTGGAAATCATACATGGTGGAACAGCTCGGAAGGAAAGACATCATTAAGGCAACTGACGACAAACACAAGTTTCCTCTGAGGTTCTCAAGCATGAAACAACCTTCAACTTTAGTCTCTTTCTTAAACTTATCACAGTTTTTTTTCAGCTGCTAACATGCAATGGTCAAAATTGAAGCCACGTTTTTAAAACTCTTCAAAAATCAACAATGTGCATCTTAGCCAGACAGTTCATTTCAACTCCAAAACTCACTCAAACCACTAAAACACTTCAGACACGTCTCAAAATAAACTCATTCAACCAACCAGACAACAGTTCCCACTCAGAAAGCATACATTCTCACTCACAACTATCCTAAAAATACTTTCACAACAGGAAGCACTATGTAAAAGTGTGAATGATTTTTCACGTAAATCAGTATTTCATTATAAAATAATAATAACATATTTTTACTTCATTGACTGTATGTACTGAAGTGTAATTTAACAAGAATCAATCAGAAATGCAGAAATTTGTTTCAATATCCTTTACAGTATTTTTTCCCATATCACTGCATATAGTAGGCTAATTGTGAAAAGTAAAAAGTTGAAACAAAAAACAAATTCCTGAAATTTCAGTGCTGCAAAACAATTTTCCTTAATTGTTTACACACTAACACTAGTACTTGAGACACATTGACCACAACCTGTTACACATGTACCAACCCCCTGAACCAATTCTCTAGTACATTTCCTACTTTACACTCAGATTGCAGTTCGGAAACACACTTTTTCACATTTCTCTACGCACTAGACGTAAACGTAAAATGTACATAAATGTTCCGCTAAGATTTTCTATATTTATCCATCCAGTTACTGCAAAAATGCAGGATATTTGCAATCATTCTGCTTTGAATGTGTTTTTAACAGTTTTGGACCCCGTGTGTTATCATTTGAAAAATGTGCTGCAAATATATAGTGTTTTTGTAGTAATGAGAAAAGAATTCATGGATTTTGGAGAAAGTTGTCATTGAATGCATTTTGTGTGAACAGTTTTCACAGTTTGGGCCACATACGCTTGTGTTTCGCTGTGTGAAGAGTTTTTTTCACAGTGTGACTTCAGTTTTGTCCAGTGCTTGTTAGCAATTGAAAATAAACTGTAAGCAGCTGAGAAAACTGTAAATATTGAAGCAAAAAACAAATTGCTCAAATGTCACTGCTGCAATAGTGTTTCTCAGTTGTTTACATAGTAACACTGGTACTTGAGACACAATGACCACAACCTGTAATTCATGTACCAACTCCCTGAACCAAGTCTGCTAAAATACAAGAACATTTCCTGCTTCACACTCAGTTTGCAGTTCTAACCCACACTTGTTTTCATAACAAAAACAAAAACATAGACGTATACATAAATGCAGGACATTTGCCATCATTCTGTTTTGAAAGTGTCAAGTTTTATCATTTGAAGAACGTGCTGCAAATACAGAGTGTTTTGCAGGTGGTGAAGTAGTAATGACAAAAGAGATTGTGGGTTGTTACGGACCTCCAGTGGAAAGTCCAGGGGAGGAGGAGGTTAGTGACAATAATAAAATCATTCCAGGTTGAAGGAAGCACGGAGACAGATTTATCAGTATGTTTGGCATTTTATTTACAATGTTAAGTGACCAAGGTACTCTAAAAAGGTATAAAAAAAAACAACTTCCCAAAACAAAGAGGAAGCGCACCATTCAGGATACGGTTAGGACCACCCGCCAGCAAACTTAGAAAACAGATGCCACAAAGGAGAAATTAATACAGTAATAAATACCATCCTCCCTCCACTGAGGGAGTGAACCCCATCACAAGGTTCAGACAGATACACTGCTACTACAGGGACTCCACGAACGCCACTGCAGTGTCACCCAGCTCTCCAAGCCGTCTGTCTATCCACGTCTGCGCTCCACACACAGTCTGCCTGCTCTCTGCTCCTTATACCAGCTCCTGCGCTCCCGCTGATTGCTAAACAGGGGACGGGTGTGCACACTAGCCTCCTAACTGCAACATGCGGAGGGGGGAAGGGCAGGACCTGCAGAGGACAGACAAGCAGCAGTACACAGACACACACACGGGCTAAGGGCCGTAACATGGGTTTTGAAGAAAGTGGTCACTGAATGCATTTTGTGTGAAAGAAAGAGTTTGCTCCACATACACTTCTGTTTTGCTGACTGTGTGAAGAGTTTTGACAACGTAACTTCAGCTTTGACCAACGCATGTTAGCGACTGAAAAAAAGCTGTTACGTACCACTCAGGGAAAAATTGGGAAGAAAAAGCCTCCATTTCTCATCTCATGTTCCAACTTAGCTTCTTTTTGTGTCTCTGAGCTTTTTTATCCATAAATGATAAGGTGCCATGATAATAGCATGTTTGAATGGTAACAAGGTGCGTCACAGAGGGCTCCAGCTCATAAGGTCACCTTCTAAGGGCCTTTGCTACCTTTTATTCCACCCCCTCTTCATCTTCATTGTATCTTTTCTCCCCTGCCCTGCACCCTGAAAATAAAAACACCATTAGTCCCCCACCCCTTGCTCTGGGTCGGAAGGGAGGGACCACAATAGCAGCAACTGATTTATGGGTAAATGGATGCTTACCTGACACATGAGTGGATAGGAGGACAGGTTATTTTCTGTTGGTTTGGCTTTTCAAGAAAATTGGGAGAAGAGGAGAGAGGGGGGGAGGGGAAATGATGCACTGTTGCACCCTATAAGTCCAATCCACACTAATGGAGTGGAAGAAGGGAGGAAAGATAAAGGAGGGCAGAGCGGGAGGGCATACAGTAAGTGGCAGCATGTATGAGTGTGTGTGTGTGAGGGAGAGAGAGAGAGAGAGACAGAAAGAGAAAGCAAATGTGGAGGGATAATTTCCTGCTGCCAGACGAGCGAGCAGACAGACACAGAGAAAGACAGACAGACACAAAGAGGCTTCTAGCAGTTCCTGACTCAGATCCATGGCTCGGTTGGCAGGGATTCACATCTCTTGGATGTCTGTCTGCGTGTGTGTGTGTGTGTGTGTGTGTGTGTGTGTGTGTGTGTGTGTGTGTGTGTGTGTGAGTGAGAAAGATAGAGAGAGAGAGGTTGCTTGGAGGAACTGCAGGATGTGAGCAAGAATCTCATCCAGCTTCCCTTTAGCAGCCTTGTCCACATGGGCTTTGGTCTCGTGCGTCAGCCTACATCCTAGAAAGGGATGCAGATGGCGAGATGAGTTTCACCCTGCAGGAAAATGTGATGAAAGCTGAGGAGATTTGCACAGACAGAATCAGAAATGTCTCAAATCAAAAGATGGTGCACCAAACATTGAGACACATCTGATTTGAAGGTCATTGTAGAGATGCTGTTTTGAATTACCTTACTGGTGTCTTTGTTACAATATTGTTTTCTAACATTATCCCCATCCTGGAGAGAGTACTTGAGAGGGATGGTACAAGCAAAGACTTCAGGACAAACTCACATTTTCAACTTTCTCATCGTTCAGTTAAATTCTTTCATGTTTCCTCTTTTTGTTTGTCTTATTTATGTCACAAAAAAATTAAAATATATCCCATTAAAAGAATTGTGAAATTATTAAAATTATCCTGCTAATGTTTTCTCAACCGCTATCTTTCAGGCAGACCCGGGAGCAGGAAACCCCTCCAGACTTCTTCTATTTCTCCGACTTTGAGAGGCACAACGCTGAGATTGCCGCTTTTCACTTGGACAGGTGAGTTTTATCCCCCACCACCAAAAAATAAATAAAACCTGTTGTGCAGAGATTTCTTTGTGACTCATCCCGTTTCCTGTCCGGGTACGTGCTCAAATTATCCTTTGCAGTCTGTTCCAGGAACAACAACAGGTCTCGCGTTGTTCGTTCACACATAGAGCAGACACTTTAACCCCCGTTTATGAACCGGAGGTGTGTCATAATAGACTTAAGCTTTGAAAATGTGAATGGGATTTAGTACATGAGGGATTAGATAATGCACCGAGCGCCCGGATCATCCCCTTAACTTGCCGCTGAGTATATTGATTTCCACATGATCCTTTTACTCTACAGGCTTAAGCCGACAAAAACAAGTAACCTAACAGAGGAACACTAAGACAAGTCAAACAGGACAGTTTGTGATTCTGGAGGAGGACGATTAATGGTGTGCAGGTCGTCTCAAGGTCTGCTGAGGGCACGGTTATTACTTCACACATGCTCACAAACACACACTCTCGCTCTCTGTTTGATGAGGTCAGAGACATGTGTTCGCGTGGGCAGGAAGATGGAGCCGGGCAGGAAGATTGAGCCAAACAGGAAATCACAGGCACGCCATTACCATCGGGTCATGATTTTAGAGCAGGGGGAAGGTGCGTCTAAAGAGCCCTAAAGAGCAGTTTGTTTTTAGATTGCGTGCACCATTCTGGGCTGCCTATGAATTACAGTCCAGTTGCTCCGACCGCAGCAGCCTCTGGAAACCAGCCTGAGCTGTTGTTAGTTTATGGCTTCATATCGACTCAGGAATGCAGAGTAGGAGGATGTTTTGCCCTGTTAAAAACTTTCTTTTAGTTGATTTCTAATTTGAGACTAGAGTCTAGACTAAAATACCCTAAAATATTTAAGGGAAGATGAAGCATCACTGCCTCCCAGTAATTACTTCGGCATCTGAGGGGTTTGCTTTATCCTCTGCTCTTAGCCAGTGTACATTACCGCCATCTGTTGTGAACTCCTTGTGACTCAGGGGTGTGTAATATGCGGAGTGCACACAAATAGACCCTTGAGTGTGCTCTCACATGCACACGCACACACAGGTGTTCCTTTGTCACCAGGGCCCAACATGACGGTGCAGTTTGTTGCTCCTGAATGCTGTCCTCTGTAGGCTAAAGTTTCGCCAGCTCTCTTCCACTCAGTCGGTGTGTGTGTGTGTGTGTGTGTGTGTGTGTGTGTGCGCGCGCGCCTGCTCCCAGGAGGCTTAGTTTTAGTCTCAATCGGGTCAGGGCAGCGAACATACAGTGAGACAGGCTACACAGGAGCTGAATAGGTATAGTGTTCTGACATAAGAGCATAAAGAAAAGAAGGAGAGAGACAGCCAGATGGAGGCAGAAAGAGAGCGAGAGGGCAAGAGTTTGAGACCTTGAGAGAAATTACATGAGCTTACCATCTAACTATAAACGGAGGGGTCAGAATAGATTGTGATTAAGTAGATGTGGTTCACACAGGCTTGTGTTTGTCTGTGTTTGAGTGTGTGTCGGTGGAACAGGAGGGAGGCAGGCAAACACACACACCTTATCCGTCCTTGTTTTATTAGGAAGCGGATGTTGGATGTCAATAAATGTTGCTTTTGAGGCCAATCACACACAGACGGAAAGCACTGTGAAGATGATGAATTATTAAACGTTGTGTGTGCTGAAGTGATACAGATCAATTGCGCTGACAGCTTTGCCTGGACATTGACAACATTATTCTTCGGGTGAAGATAAGGTATCCTGATGCCCCACTTTTCTTTGTGGCCGTCTTTATTTGGAGAATGATGGACTGAGCAAAAGTATATCCTGTTGTTGTGTAGTACATGCATGGAGTGAAGTTGCAGAACTCAAGAGCACTGGGTCAGAGCAACTCACAAAGACAGGGCAGGTGCTCAGTGTTCATAACTCTCCTGGTTGACTGGAGATGCTCTGGAAATTTGCACCGCCTGGGGCACCATGGGAGAATAAGCTGGGGGCTGAAGGCACTTTCTAGCTGCATTTGTTCAGTGAAGTGGAAAATGTGTGTAATACAGTAAAATGTAGACCTTCCGATCTGCCACTGTGGCAATCTTAATGCCATTTGGCTCATCTTCAGCACTTCACATGAACAATACAAGTTTGTCAATAAAACTTCTATTTAAAAAATATTTGAAAAAATAAATGTTCCTCTAAAAATCACTGCATTTTACATATTGTATTATAACCTTTGTCTTCATCTCTCTCTTTAGGATCCTTGACTTCCGGAGAGTGCCCCCGGTGGCAGGACGACTCGTCAACATGACAAGGGAGATCAGAGATGTGACACGGGATAAGAAGCTGTGGAGGACCTTCTTCATCTCCCCAGGTAGAATCTCTGCCAACCTTTACAGCTTGGCACAGTCACGTAGCTACTTGGCTGCGTCACTCGTCCTATTTGGACAGAACAACCGCATCACGCTGGCTTCACTTCACAACCGGGTTATGCACAAAGTTAGTTTATGTGCCTGTAGTTGAGGGGAGTCTGAGTTTGCATGTCCGGGTCTGCTCTCGAAGGCAGTACAAACAGCAAGAATGCACTGTAGTGTGTGTGCTGGTGAATAAAGCAATAGCCAAAAGCCACCACAGGGTGGCACTGTAATTCATCTTATTCCCAGAAGTTCTACAAAGATGGAGTGAACTAAAATTATATAAAAATCCAAATTAATACAATGAAAACAATGTTAATACTGTTGTTTCCTTGTTTTTTATATTGCTAGAGTATTGTACTATTGTACTGTGTTGTAAACTGACAGTGAACACAACAAATCAAACAAAAGATATTATGTTTTACAGTGATGAGGGAAACTACAGTCTCACTCAGAACAAAGGAAAAGTCACACTGCGTGTCAAATGGATGCATATTATGCAAAACAGGTCATTTGTCACGTATGAGTAGTTGTCAGGGTGCCACGAAGAAGATTACAACTTCTCAAACATATTGGTGAACATTAAAGCAACAAATTAAGCAACGATGTGGCTAATGTAGAGATTAGCCTGTAAGTTCTGAGGGAATGAGGAACAGGTTTCCTAATGAGGAGACGCAAAGATAAATAAAGACATTTGTTTTTTTATATGTTTACATTATTACACCATTTACAGAAGTATAAAATACAATTCAAATGAAATGCTTTCTATGTGTTGAGCAGCCACACACTGGGTACATTCACACTGAACGCCTTATTGACTGTTCACATTATTTTTTTAATGTGGCCCAAATTAGACCAGTTTGAAATGGCTAGGGCCTGAAAGTGACCTGCTAAAAGAATAATAGGACGTCACAAGCAGCACACTGTTGTATGGAAGTCGCTCTAAAGTGACATCAAACTTGCATGAAATCTGATCTGACTGTCCAGACTGAGTTCGCATTTCAAAAAATCTGACCTGTAACTGATTTGGAACACATAGGAAAGTGGCCCATATCAGAACTGGAAAAGATCGAATTCGATCTGGGCTGTTGACAGTGTTATAAATCAAATCTGATGTGAATCACATGAGCAAAAATGAAACATCATCTCTGGTCAGGTTCTCTTTGATTGTAATGTACTGAAATGTTTGACCCTAATATTAGAAAATCTCCTTATTTTCATTGTTTAGCTTTTACGTCATTTTCTCCTCAGTGACTCCACCTTTGCTTCCTCATTCGCATTCAGCGTCGTGTCAAACCACGTCGTGTGATGACATGTCTCAAACGCTGTTTTTTCTTTCACTGCTCAGCCAACAACGTCTGCTTCTACGGTGAGTGCTCGTACTACTGCTCCACTGAGCACGCTCTGTGCGGTAAACCGGACCAGATCGAAGGCTCACTGGCAGCCTTCCTGCCAGACCTGAACCTGGCCAAACGCAAGACCTGGAGAAACCCCTGGAGACGCTCCTACCACAAACGCAAGAAAGCAGAGTAAGGAAATGATACTAATGCACCACGAACGTGTCAGCACACCAATCCACCCATCTGTGACTAAATGTTTATTCTGTATTTATTCTCAGGTGGGAGGTGGACCCAGATTACTGTGACGAGGTTAAGCAGACTCCTCCGTATGACCGAGGCACTCGACTGCTGGACATCATGGATATGACCATCTTTGATTTCTTAATGGGTAAGAGTAGATCAAACTATGACACCACGTATATGTAGATATATTACAGTTACAGATGAATAAATGGTCACAGATGAATAAATGGCATATTCATTCCTATTTTTACTCACAAATTAATTAGCTCCTCAATCTGAAGCACATTTTTTACTATTTTTATTTTTGCACAGGCAACATGGATCGACATCATTATGAAACCTTTGAGAAGTTTGGAAACGATACCTTCATTATTCACCTAGACAACGGAAGAGGGTAAAGATGCTCAGCTGCTTTTAAAGTTTCTGTCTTAACAGCCACCAAATGGAAATCACTTAAACATTGTGACATCTTGCAAAGGTATTAGGCTAAACAGCTGTCTAACAAGCAAAGTCCAACTTGGAGAGTGTCCCCCAAATAAGGTTAAAGTCAAAGGCAACTGGACTTGGTTGAAGATACTCTCCAAATTTCCATTGGATAACTATGACCTGGATGACTGAGAACCTTCACAGACATCTTGGAGTGTGTGTGTACTTTGTACTGTATAGCATCTTAGCCTAGCTATCTTTGCTACCAGCAATGGTACCAACAATTATGAGTGTTTGAGACTTGTTCTATTAACATTCTTACTCTACCAATTGCGATCTATTGCTTTTTCACTTTGGTCTGACAAATGTACTTACTATAAGTCACTTTGGACAAAAGCGTCAGCTAAATGAATTAAATGAAGTAAATATAAGTAATATTTCCTGCTTCATTTTCTGATCTTTGCACCCTTTAGGTTTGGAAAACACTCCCATGATGAGCTGTCCATCCTGGTGCCTCTCAGCCAGTGCTGCAGGTCAGACTTTTAATTGTCTGTGCCAGGGTTAGTGTGTCTTTTTGGACACATCGTGAGATTTTGCCTTGGCATTTGCTTTAGCAACACTCTCCAGACAAAGACATTTTAAATGAATATCCTTGTGCATCTACAGCTAGAATGATAAATTCACTAGTTTATGAAAAGTGTAAATTCCAGATTATTGCATCCTGGAAGCCTAGTGGTTAAGACGCCACATAACTGTAATGTTTACAGGTTTGATTCTTAGTTGCAGCCTTCTCTTCCCATGTTTCCTGTCTGTATGTCTGTATTTATCTATCCAATAAAGTTAAAAAAAAGCAAGAAAAATAAATGAATACATCTCTTGTACTGTCATCATAGTAAGAATATACACAGCAATATTAGAAAGTAGAGTTTCATTAAAAATAACCTATTCAAATATCCTTTGTCCCCCGTTTCCAGGGTGAGGAAATCCACTTACCTGCGTCTCCAGCTGCTGGCCAAAGAGGACTACCAGCTGAGCTCCTTAATGGAGGAGTCTCTGCTCCGCGACCGACTGTCCCCTGTCCTCATCCAGCATCACCTCCAGGCCATGGACCGCAGGCTCCGGCTTGTGCTACAGGTCCTGGCGGGCTGCATAGAGAAAGAAGGTCACGTTAATGTCGTGGAGGAGGATCTAGCTGGGGACACAGCCACCCACAGGAGCCCAGGCCACAGGTAGTGAGGGCGAGACTCGAGGGTGACAGAAACCACCGGTGACACATGAAAAAATGGACCACGTCTGTGGATACTCGACCAATGGGACTGCACCAAAAGTCCCACTTCTGATATCAAGCTGAATTCAGTGAATTCCTAGACTTGCCATCATTGCCTCTACGGGACCTGCTTTTAAGTGTGTTTTATATAGAAGAAAGTGTCCACAGATACCACGAAAGACTGTGCTTACACTGAGGCTTTGTATTCGTTAGGTACAGATGTATATTGGTTTTAGGAGCCACTGCTGTTTGTCCTGTTTGTTTTAAAAATGGAAAGGTATCAGTTTGTTTGTGTTTTATTATATTAATACATAACCAAATGAGAACTTACACTGACTGGGCAGCATATGGTCAGACAATAAGCTTTATCAGTTATCACAATGTATGAAAAGTGTGTGGAAGTTTTGAGATTTTTTTTGTTGTTGTTGTAAAACATTCTTCAGTTTTCACCTTCTGCGATCAACCACATCAGCAAGAAAAAATGAAGTCAGGCCTGCCACAAACAACCTACAACCAGAAGAATAAGAGTTTCCAAATACTGTAGTGTGTATTCTCTTCTAATCTGTCTTTATAAGCTTTTTGTCATGGCACAGACTTGGAACAGACCGACTGAAAATGTTATTACATACTTCTGGACTGCATAAATCTGAGTGCAAGTATATTTGATGCTGTAGTTCATATTGTACCTTCACTTTGCCTTATTCTGATTTTATATCTCTCTTTTTTTAACGTTCCCATCTCCCCTGCAAGTCTTGCTTTCCCCACAGTACATGTAGTACAACAGCACAACACTTAAGTAGTATTTTCCAAAACCAAATATAATCTAAATGCCAAGAGCGCTGTGTGCTGGCTAGAGTTCAATAAATATGCCCAATGCACTACAATTCTTACATCCAGACCTGAAACATTTAAAGTGGTCTGCTATAATATTAATTTTACATTTTATACAATGCAAAATGTTACAGCTTGTTGTTTCATTTTTATGGGATATCATGTCCAAATGACTATTTATTGGTGCGTCACAGATAATGAGAGTGGTTTAATAAATTCTACATTAGTTGGATTTCATGTTGCTTTATATGTTGGGAATGTTTACCTTAGGTACCTTAGCATTGGAATACTATTTAAATTGACATTCCTTTGAGTACTATCTTTATGTTCAGATGATCGGGAAAAAAGCTGGTTGATTTTGGACATTAAGCTGTTGAAGAGGTGCCATGCATAAGAGTCCTGTGCACTGGGTGACCCGGTACCTGTGCAATGACAGAAATACAGTACTTGAATGTTTTTTGGGTTAGCAGTATGGACAGGATTCCTAGAACTACAAACAGTGTAAAATCTGAGTGGCTGGACTCAAGTCTGAGAAGTGATAGAGGGTTTGAAACGCCTCATCCCACTACAGGGACAACCTCGGACACTGTTCTTTGGTTTTCATATTCCCCGTGTAAATACCTATAAATACTTGGAAGACCTAACGAGCTTCACCGCACAGTGATTTGCTTCTGTTTTCTGCTATTGCATTGTTACTGTGAAGATCTGTTTACTAAATGATTAAAGTGTGCAATAAAAACAAAAAGTGAGGACAAATCTCTCATCGTGTAAGTGGCTGTGGACATGTGAGACTGGTCTATCTTGATTTTACTGTATGTGTGCACGGAGGTGAATGTGTCCTTATATTTTCAAGGGTGACAAGTAATAAGTGAGGATCAACGGTACTACAAACCAAAGCCGCAAACCCATCCAGGCAAGGTGTAGCCTCAGAAAAATCGCATGACAAAACTTCATCACGACTCTTTAACTAACTAATTCACATGTGGGTAGCCTCAGACACACCCATCTCTAACCTGAGAGCAAGTGCAGTCTGCACACAGGAAAAACACAGCTGAACGTTTGGAAAATCTATCAAACCAGCATACTTATATCAGATACTTCATTTATAACTAACATTAAAGCTACAGTGTGGGACTTTTACATATAAATGAATGTCTGTTACATATTTCACACAATGCTGATAAAGCTTATATTCGCCTGGTAAATATCTATGTATTGTGCAATATATCAGAGTTTTTAAATCTGTTTCTGTTGGAGAAGAATCTTTGGCAACATTCCTGTGCTGCTGCACCGGTAGTGATGCAAAGCCTCTGCAAGCCCTTTCTTTAATATCGGTGACTCTGTGCACACAAACAAATGTCAGTTTGTCAGTTTCACTAAAATGTTTATACATTCACACATAATGTGTAATCTCAGTTTAAATCGAAATGAAGCTTTAGACAAGAAGGATCAGTGAATAATTATCTCATGTGTGACTGGTCGTACTGACGGACCATAACTCCTATAATACTGAAGATCATGTGGTATTTCTGAGTGAACAGGATCGTGGTAAACGTATTTATGAAAGTGTTCTTTTTAAATAGGCTGCTGACCATGTTTTAACAGCATTTCGCTGACTTACTCTTTTTTTTATTACATTTGCTGAAGTAGCTATAATAAAGCTGAATGCAATTGAGCCAAATTTAAAATCTATTGTTTAAACCTCAGCGCCTTTTCAAGTGCAAATCACCAAACACATTATTACTGGATGAGATTGTGAGCTTACAGTCATGTCTCTATATTTGATCTATGTCATTTTTTAAATCTTCAACTAGCCTATATTGTTCAACTTCAGTTGCTGAGCCCTCTGTTTTTTCCCGTCAGTAAGTATATTTAAAATTGAATGTAGGCTACAGCCTAATACACAGACAGATTCCTATTTTCACCCATTAAGGAATTGTAAGTCACCACTAAACAAAACTTTATTGTATTAACTTATTGACATTTTCCGGGGTCTGACTTACTATTAAAAGATAAATGTGTACAGTCTGCATATACATACTGTGATGGCCCACACCACACAGGGTAACAGCCAGCAATTGTAATACAGTACACATTTCTACCATGTTTTGTACACAGGTTAAGTTCTTTTTGCAGTTAGCAATACCCCAAACAATGTCAGAGAGTGTTCTGTCCTGATGGAAGAAAATAGCGGCCAAGGGAGGAGGACTGTTATATACTGTGGCCTGCCAATCAAGCCGTACCATGTGCTGCCATGTTGGAGGGGGATTTTGGTTTTAGTATGTTTTACTTTGTAGTAGTTGTAGTTGTCGTCCATTTTGTTTTCCCCTTATGTGTAAATTGGTTTGGCCAAGCCACTATATATGTTCCTGTGTGTCTCATTCAGTTAGGTCAGTCTGTTCAGTTAATTTTCTCTATTGTTGTATGTTGTTTTGACTGTAGTTATATTTTGTTGACCTCATTTATGGGCCAATACATTACATTGTTGCTTTCTTTTCTTTGGTATTTTGGGGTAAATAAGAAACCAATATTTTTCAATAAAAACTCCTGTTCTCCTCATTGCCTGACTGTTTGGGCCCTGACACATGCATTTATTTCTCTATGTCCACTGGATAAAAATGGAGGCTCTGCCTTTTATTTACCTGTTGCCACAGTGAATCAGTGTCGGAGCTCTTTTGATAATGGATTTTTTTCATTCACTATGCAGGAGCTTTACAGAGTGAACTAATTCTGACCCTGCAGTCAGGGTTAGGCTCAGAGTTTATTTTAGCTGCTTTCTGGAATATATCTCAGAGATGAAGGAGGATGCAACAGTAGCGACGGAATAGGATGAAGCAACAAGGAGTATGGTGGAAAAACAGGGGCGTAGGTACAGATAGTGCAGCTGCACTAGGGACCTTGATGGGAGCGGCCCCACCGCATAAAGTGCTGGTATTTATCAATTGCATGTAAAAAAAAGAAAAAACAAAAAAAGCATCTATTCTCATAAAGCAATAGTTCACATATTTCACAGCATATTGCATTGCTTATGGCGATCAAATGTTATATACACTCATATGTGCAGTTCCCCCTGTACCGTGGTTATGATGCCACAATCATAAATGATTGGAACTGTAAAAAATCATGAAAGGACCCTTAAAGACACTAGATGTGTTTACATAATATATTTCTGACTGCATCTGTCTGCTGTCATGGTAGTTATGAAACCGGCCAGACAATAGAGGGAGACAAGGCGCTGTCCATGGTGCTGAAATAATAGCTACGGCTGTGAGCTGCACCACGGACAGCGCCGTGATGTTCATCTGTGGCATTAAGTATAGCCAGGGGGGGCAGTATCCACTCCTAGTGATGGGGGAGGGGAAGAGGTGAAAACCTGGGAGCTTTTAGGTTTTATTTATGCATTGACATTTATTTTATAATACTGAATGTAGCTATCAATTTATTGCATTCCGTTGCCCTTTTTGATCGGTATAATGTCTAAAAGATAGAACAGATTGACACAAGATGCTTTTTCTTACCGGAAAGTTTTCAGGGGCAGCTGTTGGCTTTCACATTAACGAAGGTGTTCCAGTCACTCCCCAGGAGAGGGCGCGAGTGTACCGCAGCTCTGATTGAGAAGCTCAGGAGCAAGAAGCTGTTACGGGCTAAATTCACTAGGTGGCGCTCAAGCCTCACTGTCATGTTTGAGAGGTTTAGGCCTACAGATTTTGTCGCCAGCGATGACGCTATTTTGTTGCTCTGAATAAAAGTGAAAGCCAGTGAATTATAGCCTACTCTGTGCCTTGTGTGTGACATGAGGTGATTTTTTTAAAGCAATAAATGTCTTGCCTGTTTTGATCTTAACCCTCACTTACACTGAAACGGACTGCAGGACACAGAGGCTCCAGACAGGCGCTATGTTATGTCACACAGGCACGACGGCGCTCATTTGCTTGTGAAAAAGTAAAGAAGTAAAAATAAAACAGACACGTAGAGAACTTAGAGTAGAGAAATTTTATTTGGGGGAAAAATAGGTTGTGTAATATTAGTGTAGCCTACCGTGTTGCTGCACTTTAAAGCAGTGACCACTGGGCGGTGCACTGGAACTGTGCACTGGAATAGTTGTTGTTCATTGCTTTGACCACAACACAAAACTTATGGCCAGTCAAATTCTGAGTTATAGGTTCAAAAAAGTAATTTGGCACATACATAGGCTACATTCTAAAACATTTTCCCGTCATTTAATACCTACTTCTATTATTTTATTCCAGCTGACCTGGGAAAAGAATCCGAGTAGGAATAAAGCCTAGACGATGTATTCCTCCCACCCAGCCCGGATATTGTTTACCCTCCGCAGCAGACCACCCCACACTCTCACCTCATTCAGAGTCAGCCTCTCCTGCCTAGTAACAGTATCCAACACCACTGTCCTCCCGTCTCTATAGCAACAGAGAGCACCCTCCTCCCCACCCCTTCCCTGCCCTGCCTCCCCATTGATCCAAGGTGTGTGCGGCGTCCTCGGCGACCCTGACCCTTACACCTCCCCCACTCCTCCATCAGTGAACTTGAATTCTGCCTGAATTGGCGCACACGTGTCTTGAAAAGGAAAGCTGCACTAAATCTAAAAATATTTTGGCTACTATGTCATATGATACACTTAAATCCACTGATGAGTATCCTACTTCAGGCCCTTGTTAAAACACTAATGATATGACACTTAGGCCTACACACACAACAGGGCAAAAAAGCATTCATGTTGTTAAGAAATGAACAGTTAAAAACACTGCTGATTTATCTGAGTGGAAAACACTGCACACACATACACACATACAGGCCTGTATGTGTGTGCAGCCTACAGTTGTGTGTGTGTGTGTGTGTGTGTGTGTGTGTGTGTGCGCGCGCGCGCGCGCGCGCGTCCGAGCGTATGGCGAGCTGGAGATGAGAGGAGCTTTCAAACGCTCCCTCGGAGACGGTCGTTTTTAACCCCTGTCCGTCTCGATTGATGTCAACGCTGTAGGCAAAATCATGCTCCACTCAGATCCGCATTGATCAAAACAAATGCATCCCTCTGCGGTGAAACGATATAGGCACATGGGCACGATCACGTATATGCGTAGATTGGCTCCGAGCATTTTGTAGAAGCTACTGATCTCCAAAACTGTCAAATACTCATCAACACATCTTTTTTTTATAAAAAAAAATATGACTGATATGGTTTCCAGCTTTTGGGGCCAACTGGAACATGGGCTGTCTGTCAGATTGACATCTTCATGCGTTTCCTCTCCTTACTGACAACATTACAGGCTTCGTCCCTCTCTGAAAACTCCGGCCAGCAACACCCTGACAATAAGCGTACCGGTATAGGAGCAGGCTCTGTGTCTGAGCTCATGAATTATTAAACCGCGACTATTTCGCGGCTGCAGCTAAAATTAGGAATAGCCTTATGTTGGCTATAATTAGAAAGCAGATGGAAAGCGTTCATTTATAATAGTACATGAAAGGTTTTGACGTTTCCAGGTGAAGATGCTGTGTGTGTGTGTGTGTGTGTGTGTGTGTGTGTGTGTGTTCAGAGTGAGCCTGGACAGAGACAAAACTCCCCCTGTCTGTCGTCAAGGTCAGACGGAGGCGCATCCTTTTGCGTCAGGAGAGAAATTAAACTCCAAATCAATTGCCCTTGAACCACTGTGTGTGCGTGTGTGCACGCGCGTGACTGACGGACTGCCAAAGCGTGCGCGCACGAATTTGTTTACGAGAGAAAAGTAGGGGGGGGGGGGGGCAGTCGGGGTTGTGCGGCTCCCCTCATCAACGCATCTGTCTATCCTGGCGAATGTGTGCGCGCGCATGCCAGGAGCGATCACGGGCCGTTGCATATATGGTGGGGAGGAAGGGAAGTGGGGGTCGCTTGTAAACCCGATGAAACACAGGCTGAACAAGAGAGACTCAGAATGACCGAGACCGTCAAAAGGTCGGGCAGCTCGGCACGCTGGGACAAGCGCTCCTTTTGCAAGACACAGCGAATGAAAACGAGGAGAGGAGAGGATGCTAATTATTGACACGCGCCTGAGCGAGCTGCCAGCAGCCCCTCATCTGTCACTCAAGAGGAGCAGGAGAGGACGGAGAGGAGGAGATGGCTGAATGGGAGGAGAGTCACAGTCCCACCCCCTCCTCTTCCCTTCCTCCTTATTTTCATTCATGGCACAATCAGAGACACACGCATACACATATCTCCCCCATGCAGTGGCTGCCTCAGTCCCTCTCCATCAAAAGACAGCACACACACACACACACACACACCTTCACATAGGGACAAACACTGTCTTTCTTTTGTTATCTAATTTTCTCATAAACACAGACCCCCCCCCCCTTCATCTTTTCCTATCACTGTCTTTCACACTGGGATTTTGGTCATCTCTTTTCAGAGTATGTCTTGTCTCTCAAACACACGCACACACACAGTTGTGTTTCCAGACACACATGCAGCTTCCTTGCCACCCACTCGGAGAGAGACAGAGGGAGAGAGAATGCGAGGGAGGGAGGGAGGAAGGGGAGGAAGAGGAGGAGGGAGAGCAAACCTGAGACAGAGAAGGGCTTTGAAGCTGCTGCTTGCCCTTTCTCTCTCCTGTCGGGGGCTTCTGAGCGCATGGGGGAGAAAGAGAGAGAGAGGAGACAGGCAAGGAGCAGGTGGTCCACAGCTCAACCACTCCTCTCCTCCCTCCCATCAGTACATCAGCAATCTCTCTCACTCACTCACTCACGCTCTCTCTCTCTCTCTCTCTCTTTCTCTCTCACCCCAGCTCTCTCTAACCCTGACACACACATTGACGCGTGGTGGCTGTCGGACAGGCTGCTAGACTCCCCAGCAGAGGCTGCAGGACGAAGCACCCCAACACCACCCTCACCTCCCTCCCACCCACCACCACCTCCCCCCCCCAAGCTAATTCCATTATACATTCCCGACTGGAAGGAAGAGGGGCTGTCTTCTAATTGCTTTCTTATCCCCCTGAGTCCCCCTCACTCTCTCCTCCTCCTCTCTTCTACAACCCCCCCCCCCCCCCCCCCCCCCACCCCTTCAGCCAGCCCCTCGCCCTGCGTGCACTCAACATGGTTGCAGACAAGCAGAGGAGGGAGGTGAGCTAGAGAGCAGGAGAGAGAGAGAGAGGGGGGGGCGGTGAGAGAGGCAGGCAGACAGGCAGGCTGCTGCTATCAGGGAATACTGGTGCCATTTTCAGCATCGCAGGGTAAAAGGATTGAGCCTCGCCGCTGTACGCTCGGCTCGCCTCGGCTCAGCTCAGCTCGCCTCGGCTCAGAATAGCTGAACAAGCGGGGGATTGAAGGGACAACAAAACGAGGAGAGAACGGCTGACCCCTAACAGAGGTACAATGCTTTTTCCCTGTCATTTGTTTCTCCTCTATAGCAGGATGGGAGATGGACAGCAGTGCTGTCCAGATGGAAGTGAGAGTGATGGCAGAGGGGGGCGTGTGTGTGTCTGTGTTTGTCTATGTGTACATCTGTGTCTGCATGTGCATGTCGAATAGAGGACAGCAGGGTCCCTCATGGGAGTGCGTTCTATTTTCATTTCAGGGGAAAGAACATTCGCCTCCCACACACACACACACACACAAACACACACTCCCAATACTAGACACCTGCCTCAGCCCTGTTTTTCACCAGCATCTGTCCAAACAACAGGCACAAAAAATTAGTACAAATACTGTATCTGTCTTCAACAAAACAACAACCCTGGAGAACATGCAGGGGAACATGAGCTGCAGCCTCTCTGTTTGTCTGTGGTTTGTTTGTCTTTTCCTCCCTTGCTGCGTTCAGCATCTTGAGCCTTAGGATGTGTTACGTAGTGCTATAACGGGACGCTATGTCAGAGCAATGATGTGTCATAGCACACTGTTTACTCTGCCTATTGCATAAGGAGGAATCTGATATACATACGCACACACTCAAACACGCACCAACTCAAATATTATGAAACCAGTGACAAGTTAGATTCTGGTTCTTCTAATCTGCGTTTACTTGTGGTATGTGGATCTATTACTATGTATGTATTTGAATTCTGTGCTGTAGGAGGAATAGAAGGTAGTGCGTTGCCAAAAATATTAGATAATGAGCATCTTCCATATAGCTGTTAAACCTTATATATGCTATTTTTAGTATCGCATGCCTGATATGTGCTGACCAGGGATCATGCTGTACGTTGCGTACTGGCCCTTGTGGTGTGTGTGTGTGTGTGTGTGTGTGTGTGTGTGTGTGTGTATGAGAGTGAGAAAAAAAGTGTGTGTGTATGTGCGTCACTTCAGAGGCGGCTTTACTACAGTATGCCATTAAAAGATGCACTGAGACTGCAGTGTCACTGCTGACTGAAACTGATGCTACCAACAGCCTTGCTCACCCCGAGGAGAGGGAGAGTGAGGATGAGAGAGCGGGATGGAGAGAGCGGGAGGGAGAGAGCGGGATGGAGAGAGCGGGAGGGAGGTGGGGAGGAGGAGGAGGGCAGAGAGAGAGAGAGAGGTGTGACAGAGAGCAAGGGAGTGAAAAAAAGCAAGAGGGAGGTGGAGACAGACACGGCAATATGTGTTCATGTGCGTGTATGCGCGGGTCTGTTTGTGTGTATGTGTGGGAGAGAGAGAGAGAAAGGGAAAGAGAGCGCAACAGGGAGGAGGGGGTAACGACAGAGATAACGCAGAGAGGGTGTAGAGAGGTGTCAGAGAAAGAAAACAGAGGTGAGATAGAGAATGGTGGTGTGGGTAGGTGTGTGTGTGTTTGTGTGTGCCTAGAAAGATAGTTAAAATGCGCGAATGAAGTAAGAATGAGAGAACGATAAAGCAGAGAGGGAGAGTGATAAGTAGTGAAGGGAAGGAAGAATATATGAATGGAAGATGAGAGGCTTAACCCCTATAGCAATGCAGCGACATGGCTGCCATCAACACGTAAACATCTGCACTGGGATAAACTATGTGTGTGTGTGTGTGTGTGTGTGAATTTCTAGTACAAAAGTACCAAAATACCTACAGTATGTATATAAACCACTTTTCCAAAAGATTTTAGGTTTTCAGCTGACGTCTATGGTTTTTGTTGTTTGTTTGTTTGTGTATGTGTGAGTATGTGTGTGTAAAAGCGATATTTCTGCAGTCAAAAGAAATAGATAAGACAAGAGCCAGCCCACTGGCTTGGCACAGCATGGCATGGCGAGGAAACGTACCTCGCGTACACAATTTGTGCTACTGAGACAAGGGGCTGGTGCACACAAACACACACACACACACACACGCACACACGCACACATACACACTAAAAGTCTGTTCTGTTTTCCTCTGACTTTTTCTCCTCTATACACACACACACACACACACACACACACACACACACAGTCAGGCTAACAGTGGGTTTCCTGCATGATGCAACACAATGAAAGGAAGCTGATTATCATGGAGATTGGGAGGTGGGTGGAGAATAGGTTTCACTGTGTGCATCTGTGTGCGTCTGTGTGTGTGCAGGTGTGTGTGATGGTCAGTAAAGGGCATACTGAAATTGGCAACTCATTGCCGTGGTGAAATGAAAGGTGAAAGCTCCCCTCTGTGTCTCTCTCTCTCTCCCTCGCTTGCTTTCTCTTCCTCTGCCTTCCTTCCTCTTTCTGTCTCGGACCAAAACAAATATCTGAGGTCAAGGAGAGGAGAGGAAGAGAAAAAGCTGACAAAACAGGCAAATTGATAGGCTGGGAAACAACAGCACAAATTAAAGGCAGATGAGGAGGACGAGGAAAGATCATTGTTGGAGGCTTAAAACATCAAGTGGTTGTCTTTATCTCTACGTTTTTCCCCTCTTACTTCTAATCTGTCTGTCTCTACATTGATCTGTCCCTTTTGTTTACATCCGATTTCTCAATTACTCTTTTTTATTTTTAACTAGATCACCGTACTTTCTGTTTGTGTGTGTGTGTGTGTGTGTGTGTGTGTGTGTTTATGAGCAACACACTATAAGCCCCAAGTGCCTACCTTAATTGCCCCGGAGGCTCATGGTTATTTAAGGTAGGGGGTTATTAGGCCGACAGAGGGAGAGAGAGACGGAGAGAGGGAATGTTTGTCCCTCATTAAAGAGAAGTGCCACGAACACAAGCAGGGCTGTAGGGAGCAACCGGACCACAGAGCCGTCATTAAAAGCACACACACACACACATAAACACAGTCAGCTGTTAATGAACCTGGACACTCCACCTATGGCTCATGGCATGCCATTTGTATTCACACTGAATGACAATGCCTGTTTCCTTTTAGAAATAGTAGCAAGTCTTCCTGGAAATCCTTGCTGTCATGCTTTCTGTTCCCAGTTCCATCATTATTCATTTTGTTCCCACTATAACCGTATGATTCAACAGCACCGTGGCAGCCCAGCATGAGTACAACACATACACGGCTTGTGCACACGGCCAGAACCTTCTGGAGGGCACAGGGGCAAAAATCTGTCTTTGGTTGAAAACGCAGGAGCCATCTTTGGGACTTTACCTTGCTTTAGTGGTGCACATTACCACACAAATTTAAAAATGAATCAAATCTCCAATAAGTAATTGCCACACAGAAAAACATGGGACTTTCAATGCCCTTGGGGATCTGGGGCCCCTGGCCAGTTGGTAACCCAGGCTTGCATGTGCATCTCACACTGTTTGTGCTTTGAAATTTTGTTAAAACTGAATTCTAAATGGCCACAGGTGGCACAAGATTTTCAGATAGCAGCATCTGTTCCAAACGAAAACTGTTTACGGCTCTTACCTCAAAATATGGACAGCACAAAGAGTTCCATTTAAAGAACGTATTGCCCCAAAATATGAATAAACAAGTGGCAAGCAGTCATAATTTTCATAATCCCACCATAACCCCTGTTTTTATGAAAAATAACACACTCTCTGGTTGCATACCACTCTCTTTTTTTGTCTGACCTGTTGTCATTCCCAGTACCTGCTTGTGGATTATACATAAAACAGACACACACATGCTCACAAAAGCATAAACACGTGGTCTGCAACATGTTCTCACACCCAAACCCTAATAGAAATACAAACTGACAACGCAGCAGACGCCATACTGATTCTTCTGTCTCATCTTTCTCCCACATCCTTGCTATCTGCACATCTATACAAACAAGTGTTAATACTGAAGGCCCCATCTTCATGTGCATCATACAGCTAACACACAAACACACTGTGTATTTCCAGGAGCTCAGCTTGAGTGCAGTGTGAGAAGGTGGGTACACGCTGTTCCAGTGAACAGTATACCACGGCTGCTAACCCAGATCTGATTACACACGGTAGCTCCTCACATGCACAACTGTGTGTGTGTGTGTGTGTGTGTGTGTGTGTGTGTGTGTGTGTGTGTTCATACATATCTGTATGTGTGCGTCTGCACTTGGGTCTAATGCAGTTTGTAGGTAATATGTTTTTATTGGACTATCCAGGACAGTGTCAGTGAAGTGTGTTTGTCTAGAGAGGGCTGATGTATTTCCTTCCGTGAGAGTCAGGAACATCAGAGTAAGAGAGAGAGAGTTGGAGGGGGGAGGAACAGGGGAATGGCGGAGAGGAAGAGCAAGGGGTTACTGCGGGGAAGAGAAGACAGAGGTTTTGATGAGAGAGGGAGGGAGGGGGTTGAGAGGAAAAGGGAAAGGCTCATCTGTATGCTGGTTATTGTGTGCTGCTTGTTTGATCTGGAGGGAGTACTTAGTGCTGGATGGTGGGATGCTGCAGAGTGGGGAAGGCAAAAATAAGGTTCCTGCAAGAGTGTGTGTGTGTGTGTGTGTGTGTGTGTGTGTGTGTGTGTGTGTGTGTGTGTGTGTGTGTGTGAGAGAGAGAGAGAGAGAGGGAGAGAGACGTGTGTATGTAATTGGGTGTGAGGTGTTGGGTGCAGCACTTTGCTCATTAAAAGGATCTGGCTGCTGTCCAGCTGTGTGCAGTTCAACTGTCCTTCATGTCTCTCATCCTCCTCCTCCGCTCATCATCTGTCTTCTCCTTCCTTCCTCACCCTTCTCTCCTCTTCCTCTCTTTTTGCCGTTCTCTTCCTTCTCTGCACTCCATCCTCCCGTCCCAGCATTACTGCAACAAAACACTGCTTTAAAACGGTTGTGATCGACGGAAAGTGGCGAACAAGGGTGGTAGGGGCCATCTTTCCTCACGGATGAGTATTTGATCATATGCACCACATTAGATCCAAATATATTGTGCTTGTAAAAGATCAGTAATTCACACATTTAGACGTATCCAAGAGTATGAAGTTTCACAGACAGTTTATATGTAACTGTGGACAAATGTTTTTGTGAATTCACCTGCAACTGCTAAATGTTGAAACCAAATATCACACATCTGCAAAGGTGAGAAATAA